TTTATTATGTATATATACCTATATAATATATATATATATATATATATATATATATATTATAATTATATATATATTATATATATATATAATGTATATATGTGTATATATATGTATATATATATACCTATATATATAATTTTAATATATATATATATATATATATATATATATATATATATACACATATGAATTATATATTATATAATATAATATATATATATATATATTTATATATATATATTATATATATATATTTATATATTATATTGCACACACAATGTTTAATGTAGTATAAGTTTGTGTTTATGTGGGCCTGGCCAATAAGCCAAGCACTTATGAAAGTTGCCAATCAAATAGACTCTATACCTTGATTTTGGGCCAGGTTGTGGCGTCTGGATTCAACAGGTTTATCTAATGTTGCAGGGGATGCATGTATGTGCACGACAAGCCTACTTTTGGTTAGGTTATTGTCTTTTCACATTGATGGCTCTACAAGTACTAATTCACAAATGAGTCAATTAATAATACTATCTGTCTCACCTGTTTACCCTTTTTCTTGATATTCAGAAATATTTTTATTTATATTATATGGCTGTTAGTATTGTCAGTAGCATTTTGATGATTGTGATGATGATAATCCCATTATGAAAATCCCATTAATATGATAGTGCAGTATTTAAAAAAGAAGAAAAAAAAATTAAAACTAAAGGAAAGGTGATATCAGGTGAGGTCAGTAGGTGCTAATTTACTCCATGTAGGTTCCAAACAGACACCAAGATTATGTATATATGGTCAGACCTATTCTGACCATCCATACAAGATACAGCGCCTGCCTCCTCCCACCACTAATCCTACATACGGGGATTTATAGCCTTTTACAGTGGTATACTTGTGCAAAAAGATGGAATATGTTATCATATCATATTTTGGAGTAGCTAAAGCATTCACTGTTTTGATATCTCTCGTTGACAACAGAAATCCGTTTTTGTGCTCGGCTTCATGGTCCCAAATAGACATATTGCCATGTTTAAGAAATGTCTCATTCCAAGCAAAAATTGTTATCTGCTTTAAATGATGAAATTATATTGCTTCTACGACATTTTTACATAACAATAAATTCTTTTTGCTAGGGCCTTTGTCATGTACAGCCAGCTCAGTCATTAGAGCAAGTTATGACTTTTATACACATTATACACCATTGCGTCATGACGGCTATAGGCATGCCCATCAGTATAGGGTAAAGTAGATGGTTGCGTTGGGGCAGTGAAAAGGCACTAGTACAGAGGTAAACCAAGGGCTTTGGAGGAAATGGATCTATGAGTATAGTGGCATAACTATGATCTGGATGACGTTATGGTCCCATAAAGAAAAAATCTGGGTTGAGGGCCAGGTGATGCGAACTTGCTGTCATGAGCAAAGGCCAGGATGACGGAAAAGACTCTCTATGAGTGCACAAACCTCTTGGAGTGTGATTAGACACATTTGCCGCTTAGTAGGGGGCATTAGCATTATGCCCATTGATAAATGAATGTAGAATGTAATGTGCATAAGCCATGACTGTAAGAATGCCACCTCCAAGGAGGATGCCATTTCCATGCTGCAAACCATATTCCTGGTGTAGGATGTATTACAGAAAATTGTAAATTACAAAAGAATTAGATATATGACACAAATAACCAAATGTTCCATATTTTTTTCTTGCAATGAGTTATTTGCTACACAGAGAGATGATATGAAGTCAGTGCACAGTATTTCACATCCACATCATTGCCATAACCCTCCCAATACCTTGCTCACTGTTGCCGTGGGAGGGCTTAGGAGATGGAGACTGAGGCCCAATATAGGGATCATCACAACTTTGGGCCTCAGTCCTCACCTCAACTAATTTTGCTTGGTCATTACATCTACCCTAATTGACCTCACTGGCAAACCCATTCCTGCCGAACCTCATCCCTCTTAACCCATTAACGCTGGTATATTTTGAAGCCAAAAATAAAAGATTCCGGGCAGCTACAAAATCGGCGAGCGGGGCTGCCCCGGACTCTGCCCAGCCGCTGGCCACGGCCTGCCTGCGGGTCGGAGCGCGAACCCCGATACAGCATCACACTGGCGGGACGCCTGGCAATGTTTATTTTTTCGGATGTCTCATATGTGGGACACCCATCGTTAGTGGGTTAATACTTGTATGGGAACTGTTTCTATCCCCCCAAATGTTTGTCTTATCTACAGCAAGGACTAGTAACTGTGAAAATGACCTCCTTACATGCCTTGCTGATTATGATGCAGTGGCAGTACAGTGCTACACTATTCCTCCCAGAGGCCAGTGAAAGTCCCATGTCATTATTGCCAAGATTAGCTTCCATAGACTTAACCTCCCCCATGAAGTTTATATTGGTGGATTGACCCTTCCTCGTCAGTGTCAGAAATGTTGGTGTTTTGGCCACCCAGCCAAACACTGCCTGCTCAGTCACGTACACATACCAATTGTGGAAACTCCCATAATGTATTTTATAGAAGGTATCCCTGCCTATAAGCTCGAATGTGAGGTAGCAATCATCAGATTCAAACTAGGCCTCACTCTACATGAGGCCAAACAAGAAGCACGGCAACGAGGTTTTTCTCTCTCAACTTATTCCAAAACAGTCCTTCACTCAGTTCCCCCATCATCTTCACAAAATGTTTCTGCACCTCCCCCAGTATGTCTTCCCTATACCCTAAACCATCCTGCGTCTCATCACCCTATCCTTCAGTCAAGTTCGTTTATCAGTCTAGGTCCAGATACTCCAATCTCTACTACTTTCCAAATACCTACCCCTCCTCCTCACTTTATTTGTCGCACCAGGCAACCTAAATGTTCCACTCTACCCTCTCCTATACCCTCCTCTTTTTCTGCTCCTCTGATATCTATCTCCTCTTCTCCTCATAAGAGAACCGTTGTTTTCTCAGTCCCTCTTCACCAGCTCCCCTCGAGACATTGTTTGAAAGACATCTAAAACTTTAAAGGTAACCCAAGGGATCACTTTCGCTTCCTTCATTCACCCCCTAATCCCTCTTTTCCTAATCCTTCTACATTAAAAGTATATGCAGATATCCATCCTCCTCATCAAGTTCCCTCCATCCCCCTTCCTCCTACACCCTCCAAACATACCCCACCCTCTCTACTGCTCCCACTTGAATACTCACATGATTCCCCTCTATCACAAGTGTCCTTCTCCAGACCCCACCCCTCCAGACATTCTGTCTGATACTTCACCACCTCCCCCAGTCCCCCTTTCTCATCCCCCATTCTTCTTTTCCTACTTCTCCAACAGCCACCTCTGTTTTCCTTGAACGATGTTCCTATTCCTTCCCCAGTCACAGATACAGTGCAATTCACTCATTTCACCTTTCCCATTTTACTAGTCCTTTCTCTACTTCATTTACTTCCCTCTTTTCTCTTTTTATTACCATACTTTCCTATAACACTATAATCGTTGATATCAAACACCCACCCACCCTCTCCCTGGAGTTTTCTCCTACTTTTCCAATAGCCATCTCAGTTTTCCTTGAACATTGTTCCTATACCTTCCCCAGTGACAGATACACTGTAATTCACTCAATCGCCTGAAGAGTCGTCGGTATGGGCCACAAATTATGATTTTTTCAAACTTTGTGTATGGATACATAAGCATGTGACGCACCCCGGGTGCCGTTTGCCAGATGTGTAACACGCTCCTTTCCGCGGTTTAAATGTCTGGAGTATTTAAATGCCCTTGCGCTGCCACACCCCTTTTTGCTTCATGCTTTGTTTTTCTTGTATTTCAGCATTTTTTGGGCTGTTTTTTTCAAATTTCTTTGATATCTACTTAGGAATTGTCTAAGTAGATATTAACATTTGATAATCATTGGTATGACCTTTATGGTGTAATGAAGATGAATGACAAAAACTGCTATTTTCTCAAAATCATATTTTCATGCATAATAGTAAGATTAACTTTGTATGTAATTACGCGATTTTAATCATTCTTTTTGCAAAATAATCATCCAGTTTGCATCTACCAACTGTAGTGAAGTCATGCATTATTTCCACCAAATATATTTTTTTTACTAAAAAAATGATTGGCAATTCTCTGACGAAAAAAAAGTCAATTTCCTGCAAGGTAACTGAAACATTGTCGTTTCAGATAGATTTACATAAATGCTACATTTGGTACTCCTATTTGTTGACTAACTGGTCAGAAGGAAACTGCAGTACTATTCACTATAAGGAAACTATTACATAATTTGCGAATTCTACCATCTTTTTTTTTTTTTTTTCTTTTTTCTTTTTTTTTTAGCACAAAAATTTACGCAGCTTTTTAAAATAAAATTTCTTGTGCTCAAGCATCCCATAATCATGCACATATTTAAAAATAATTAATGACCTTGCTAAAAAACTAAAGCAAGGAGGACTGGACTGGATAACGAATTTCGTGATTGTACCGACAACTCCTCACCTTAACCCTCCCCTGTGTACTAACCTTTGCTCTAGTTCACTTATTCCCCACTTTTCCCCTTTCACTCCCATACTATCCTATAATGCTCTCTAATCTTTAACATCTAACACATTTTATGCTAATCTTTAACTCCTCTTTACCCTTTCCGACACAATATTTTACCATAGTGCTATATGACCTTTGATGTCTAGCACATTGATTTTTTCAAACATTAAACATTCATTGCCATAAAAGCTATGATATATATATATTGCTGATAAACACCACCAAGTTTCATATCATTTGAATAATAAACAACGGCATTATTTAAGAAAAATGAGTTTGTGAAAAATCACAAAGTTTGATATTCACACTTTATCCATTAACCAGACTTGTTGAAAAATTACCTGTTAGTTTCCTGTTAGTTTAGTGGGAATTTATCTTTTTCTAAATGCTCAGTCTTATGAATTCAAGATATAATATATGGACTCCTATTACATGAATGAAAATATCCATAATGTAAAATGTGGCAAATCTATTCAGCTT